AGATGTTTTTATTTTATTCGGCTTATAATTTCTTACTAAATGTAGTATTTCATCTCAATGTACTCCGTCTTTGATATGATTTAAATCAAATTCCTCGTCATTGTAAATATCACGAATACATATCAAATAGTTTTCTGGTTACAATTTTCTAATTTCGACTATGCGTAATGTATGCTTTGCACATGCGCGCGTTGAAAGAAGTGTTTAATAAAATAAACAAATAAATATTAAGCTCTTTATTTATTTATTTTTTTTTTTTTTTTTTATTTTGATACCCTTTAGATCATAGTTGTTCTTTGTTTTATGGTTTCATATTTTTAATTTTATAATTTCTGCATGCCATCTTACCAGATTTAAACTGATGATCTATAATCCGGAATCGCCAAAGTCCCGACGAGTCTGGATTAAAGACTTTTGACTGTATTTGAATAGAATGTGTGGCAATGATTAGATAATTGCTCAGATGATATAAATTTTTTGTATTCTGAGTTATGAATGAGATGTAACTGGGTTACGTGAACCTAGTGCCAGTGTCGCTATGGTAAATAAATAGAGTGAATTTTAAGGAGTGCGTTTATCCTGTTATGGTTTATGTGCTTTCAGTGAAGTAGATTTAATTCAATTCACTAAGTTTATATGAAATGCAGGAAAAGTGCATATAATTTAATATTCCGTACCAGAAACTGTTGAGTACATATCAATTTTTTTTTAAAAAATATTTTCAACTACCATTTGAAAAATTTCAACATCCTGTTTCATAGTATTTCTAATAATTTCCTATACACATTGCGTTGTATGTTTTATTGGTAATGCATGCCTCGTATTGACTTCATGACAAATAGTACTGGCCTCATATTTCACTGAATTCATCATAAGTAGCTCTAACCTCATATTTCATTAAAAACTTTCATGCTTCGTTAAAAACTTTTCAACTTATTATTTAAAAACTTTATTTACACTATGCCAGTGGAAAATTACATTTTATCGGCTTATAGGCATGTTTTGATCTCACAGACATAGTTGTCATTTGTTACACAGGTTTCATTTTAAGGTTATGGAAACTGCCAGTTCACTTCTAATTTTTTATATGTTCGTCAGTGTTCTTGCTTTAGAATCAAAATTGTTTAGAGTAATTTTTTTTTAGTTTGTTTGCTCCTTTATGCAAAATCATGTCACGCTGCCAACTAAAAAATATCTCTTTTTTTATTTTTACGTATACCATTCACCTAATGTGCTTTTCAGAATGCTTTCTTTTTGAGAAACTAATTATTTGAAATCAGTTTCCATTGCGGGAGGATTTTCTGCTGCGGACAGAGCTTGCATTTTTGGTAGTAATGCTTTCTTCTATACACCACTTAATACGGCACATAAAAGTTGGGCCTATTTACTGGTTTCGTAGTATCTAATGCTCTTTCTGTTATCCCTTTATCTAGATACTCGCTTAAAGCTTCTTTGTATTTTAAATTAGAGATCACTTGGGGTCACGTGATATGAACCGGCGAATCAGGATGTTAAACCATGAGATCATAGTAAATTCTTAATTTAATGCCTTTTTACAAATTTATTGCCGTTATTTATTATCTTTTTATAAATTTTAAATGATATTAAAATGTTATGCCTTCAAAATAAAAAATTCTTAAGAACTAACATTTGTTAACATTAATGTGTATACTGTATGTTGCCGCCAATAAAGTCTGCTTAGCGAGATTTGCGCCGGCGAAACGGAAATGTACCAAAAATGTTAACAAATGTTAGTTCTAAGAATTTTTTATTTTGAAGGTGTTGGCTTTAGTTTTCCACATGCAAATTTTGATCGGAGGTCAATCGGCGGTAGCTAACGTGGTTGCCGCTGATTGGCCGATGACGCCAAGATCGGCGTTTTGGCCGAGTATTATATATATATGTACGCCGGTATCGGCGAATGTCTTGTTCTCTTGTGTTATTATGAGTTAGCATAATGCTAGTTTGCTTTCAATCAAATGATTTTAAATGTAAAGGCTACAGTGTTAGCTTATTTTATTTACAGAATAAAGCATGAATTTTATTTAGATTAGTCTTAGCTTTATTTAAGGGAAGCAAAATATGCTTTGTCTTTATCATCACCACTGCCAACAGAAGGCATAAACATTTTAATATAGTTTAAAATTTTGTAAAAAGCTAATAAATAAAGACAATAAATTTGTCAAAAGGCATTAATTTAAGAATTTACTATGCTTTTATGGTTCAACATCCTAATTCGCTGGTTCATATCACGTGACCCTGAGTGATCTCATCTCACTTAAACTACGCTACAAAAATCTAATTATCTACGTCAATTTCAAGTTAAATCTTAATTTAGAATACAAGTTTAAAATGCAAGAATTATTTCAATTCATACGAATAGCTTACTCAGAAGTTATGTAAAACCGCGGTGCTTTATTTCGCTAGTGAATTCTTGTTAGAATTGATGAATTTAACCCTTGACTTTGCCTTTTCTGTACTTTCGCCTTCAGGTGTGCAGTGTGATTGCTTCATAATTGACTTAATTACCGCGAAGGACATAAAATGGAACTATCTGGTAAAAATTCTGTGTAATTGTATGACAGTATTGAAAGAAACAATCAATCTGATAAGAAATGGCTGGGACTTGTTTTGAAAATGAGGCACAAAAGGTTACCAGCAAGGATATTCCATTTGGCATCAGTTGTACCATTGCCAGTGACTTTATCGCCTGCGCCAGCAAAATGGAAAAGTACCACATTTTTTATGTTATACTGTGTGTTATCGCCAATAAAGTCTGCTTGGCGAGATTTGCGCCGGCCAAACGGAAAAGTACCAAAACTTTTAATGTGTCTTGACATTGTCATAAATCAATCCACAATGCATTAATTGTTTCTAATATAGCAAAACTTCAAAGCTTCCTGTCACCAAATACCCAAATGCTGAGTTGTAGCACTAAATTTGTATTGGGTACATAAATTTGTGCATAGCTTATGAAATTGAAAAATATTTCTGTTCCAAGAAGTAATTCAATTGTACCCGGTTTGTGAGAGTCTGGATCAGTTACATAACTATTTCTGGGATTGCAGTATTACAGGCATCAATTTATCTACTAGAAGGCATCAAATGCGTAATTTTTAGAATTATGAAAAAAATCTAGTTTACTATTGTACATTTTTTTCTTTATTGAATGTAATTGCACTCATTTTTGCTATCACCATAAAAACTCTACTGATATGTTTGCATTTTCCTTTTGCAAATGAAACTTTTCAGCTAATTCAGATGAACAAAGGTGGACCATGCTTCCATTATCAAGCAAAGTTCTGGCTGGAAATATTTTCTATTCATTTCCCTTAATGTAAACCATCACTATTGATAATAATATCCTATTCATTCTATTAGAATTTTCATTTACTTTAGCAGCTGTTATAAAACGTGTTATCCTTATCTATGTGTAACGAAAATATTATAAAAAATATCAGAACTACGCCAAGACTACCCGTCAACGGTTGTTCTGCACAGGTTCTTAATAGATACGTATATAAACCTTAATAATAATTAGACACAGTGAGTTTACTATTAGAATATCTGTTTACAATTTCAATATTTATAGAAAAAGAAATAAATCTTATCTACTTGAATTCTGCACATATTTCTTGACGAATAAACAACTTTGTTAACACTCGACATCAGTATTTTCACAGTAAAGCAGAAACTAGGATATTATTCAATAAACAGAACACAAATACAATATAATATCTCAATTCAATTCATATCAACATTAAATTCATAGAACACTTCTATCGCTAAGCAAACACGGATTAGAACGTGCATGGCAACGTCAAAAACTGATGCCATCCACAAAAAAAAAAAAAAAAAAAAAAAAAAAAAAAAAAAAAAAAAAAGGATACATAAAACTCGCGTCATTAAAACATTAATACATTAAAAGTCTCTTGTTCATTCAATAAAGTTATTCATAAAACTGTCTCGTGGATATCTTCCGAAGTTTATTGACGGCATTACGTAACACTATGAGTGGCTTGGCATGGATGTTGAGTTTCTGGTTTTCCGTAGACTGGCTTGCGTCTGACCTTTGATCCAATGGAAAGGCTATTTCCCAACTGTTTTTATAATGTAAAATTATTACGGAAAAACATGCTTTCATCAATTTCAATGATCAAATTGCCTCTTCCCTCCATGTTCCACCAAAGAGTTGACACATTCTTCTTTCAAATTATTGTTTAAGTCCACAGTCGGGTTATAGATTGTTTCACTGCTTATCATATTATTTCATCAAAAGCATTATTTTGCTGCAACAAAAAATTAATCTAATCTGTAAAGTATAACTTCATTTCATGATTTTTCAGGTAAGCTAGTAGGTAAGTCCCAAAATTACATCATAATTCAGTGTATTAGAATCGCAATAGTATCTGGTTGGAGAATTAATTCAAAGAACTGGAGCAGTATTCAATTTTTAACAAAAAGAGAAATGTATTTAATTCTTTATTTAAATAGTTTGACATTTATTGCCACTATGTAATTATATACTTTAATTTTATTTCCTTCTGGAAAAATACATACCAAATTCATATGTTCCCCCCCCCCCAAAAAAAAGTATTCAGAGCAGGATTTCTCAAACTTTATAAATTTTGTACTGCATAAGTAAATTTATATATATATATATATTTTAAAAAAAAAACTGTGCCAATAGGGATGCCATTTTACATTCATTAAAATATTTTGTGTAAAAACAATGCTACCAAATATAATGTAATGTACCATTAGTAGTACACTGAGAACCATAGGCTGTGTTTGAAAAACCTTGATTCAGAGTTACTTTCAAAAATATTTTAAGATTTCTGACTTTTCTCGTTAAGTATATACATTTGTGCAAAATTACATAATGACATATTAATCGCAATGTATCAAATTATTATTAGTATTATCACTTGTGTGAAAGACGGAATTATTTTTATTTTAAAGCTTTTATGAATGAGTTTAATTCCTATTATATCCTACAGAGTAGCCGGGATTTTTTGCTCACCTTTTCTAGAGAATACTTAAGTGGTGAAGGGGATATCACAAAACATCTAAGATATTTGGGTTATACAGTTTCACATCAACAAACAACATTGGATGAGTTTGACTATGCAGTGAGAAACATTGCTAAAGATTTGCGCTGTGGATTGCGTTTAGGGTAAGTTTTATAGGTAATTTAAATATTAAATGCAAAGCATATTATGATGATGATTCTATTTTATGTAATTTCAATTATTTTTATAAATATCATTTTATTCTTTTCTAAAAGCATGTATACTTTACTTATATTTCTTACTACTTTTGGAAGCAATGATGTAAAACTTCATGCTTTTAATGTATTGAATCTTATTATTGTATTATTTATACTGACTGACTTGAATCTTTAGTCAGTTGAGTGCAGAAGCATGGAACTACAAAATATTCTCGAAATAAGATATTGTTTTAGAATAAAGTTATATTAGGGTTCATATGATCTTTAAAATTACTTAAAAGTCCTTGGGTGGTTCCCCTCCCCCTGGAAATGATTTTTGGTTCCAAAATCAGCAAGAAGTCCATAATTTTACTCAACTGAAATTTCGGTCTGTTTTTCTGCATCTGACATTTTGAGGGTAATGTATCATTTTGGAGGCATAGTTTTTGGTGAAGTAACTGGCAAATATATAATTGATGGATTAATAACATTTGAATTTTTTACTAAATATAAACGATTGAAACTTGAGATCTAGGCATGAGGCACTGCCTCGGCTGAAATGCGAATCATTTCAGAATTATTTCTTTTTTGTGAAGAGTTCATAAAATGCAAGGTAATCAAAAAAGTTCTTGCCATTTTGGACAGTCAGAAAGAAAAAGTCATAAAACAAATAATCACCGCTAATCCTGAAAGAAATCACCATCCATTATCATCCATTGTCTTTTGCCGACAAGTGGCTAGCTGTGTGATGCCATCACGGTAAAACTCAGGAGTCTTGGATGCAAAGAAGCCCGTGATGGCCTTTTCGAGGTCTGGCCGGTTGTCAAAGGATTTCCCAAGAAGATGGTTGTCCAGGGAATGGAAAAGGTGGTAGTCTGTTCGCAGAAGGTCTGGGGAGTATGGTGGATGGGGTAGTGTCTCCCAGCCCAATTACTGGATAGTGTCCCGGTCCTCTTGAGCCACATGCGTATTGCATTGTCATGGAGAAGGATTACACCCTTAAGATTGACCAATGCTGGCTCTTTATACATCAGTGCCTGATGCACATGTTCAGACTGTTGCGAGTACAGGCCTGCTGTGATGGTTTGGCTCACTGGCAGGAGCTCCTATTTGGCCAGATACAGAGACTAGTCCACCAGATGCAGAGCGTGATTTTGCATGGGTGGAGAGAAGGTCTCACAGTGTGAGGCACATGGTTCCATGGTGACAACCAATATTTGGAACACCTGGGTGTGTCATACTGCATCCCTTTTCACAGCTGGTGAGTACTCGATCAAATATGGATGCATTAAGCAATTATAAACAGGCAGCAACACGCTGTTGCTTGTTTACATCGGGCAGTGAGTGAGGTACCCACTTGTTTAGCTTGTATGCCTCATCGTCCAACACATGTGGCTGACCACAGCGTGGTGCATCACGAAGAGACATATCTTGTGACCTGAACTTCTGGAACCATTATCTAACAGTTTGTTCATTAACAGCATCATCCCCATAGGCCTGGCAAATTCAGTAACTTGATTCTGCGGCTGACAGGCCCACTTTACAATCATACAGCAAACAACTCCGAATGAGCACCTTTAATGCATCCAATTCAATCAGTTGCTGTGTGAGTTAAGTTTGAAGTACTAATGCAACGCGCTATTGTACTCTTGGTAAATTTCCGGACTCGCATCCTAACCACTTCGTTGCCAAGTTTGGCAACTATTTTTATGTTGGGGTTCATTCTTCTGGTGTCATATCAGAAACAACGAGAACTTTTTTGGTTACTTTGTATTACGTGAAAAACTACTTTTTCCTTTTTGAAATAGGAGCTCTTTTATATGCAGTGCTAAATTTGCTGACTTATCAACATTTTGGCAATTTCAAGATCAGTTTGTAAAAAAAAAATTTTTATTCGGATATTTGCAGATTTTTTTATGATATTCTTTACAAACATAATAAAATTAATAAATATCATAAAAATAATGATAATATATTAAAATTATATTTAAAAAATAACAAAGCTAAACAATTTTATTTTCTGCTATTACTTCCCATTTTTGTGACTTACGGATATTTTGATTTAGAAAAATAAGTGAAATAATAAATGCTGTAAAGCACAGTTTCTGAAACAATTCTTAGGAAAAACAAAAAAGCTACTGTGGTTATTTTAAAATTAATTTCATTTGTCGTCTTTTATATTCTTTAATGATAAGAATTTTTCCCCATGTAATTATTTCAGAATATTTAAATGTGTACAAACTTTCTCTTGAAAATTGACTTCACACTTTTCTTTTCTAAACTTTTTTCCCTCCAATTCTTCTGATTTATTGCTCTTACATAGTCGGTAGTGATAATTTTCCTTTTAGATATTAAACCGTGCATCCTCAGAAGGTTTAGAAGTATTTGAAAGCAAGATTTATGGACCAAAATTCCATAAAATTCTGATGAAAAGATATGGTATTAACATGTAATGAATATGATTTAAAGGAAATTTGGGATGAATTTCTTATCCTTTGGAGAATTTTTGGAAGGGCAGTGAAAACAGAACTGTTTGAGTATTCTGTTTTAAATCCCAGAAGTCTGTCTTTTAACAAGTTTACCTTTCCTTTATTTTCTTATATTTCCACTAGATACAAGCATTGAAGCAAGCAAAGACTTGAAAACAGACAATTTATTAAGATTCATCTTATATGTCTCGCTGCACTATACATACCTCAGTGCCTGCTCTAGCACTGGCCCTGACCTTATATCATTTCATGTTTATTCTCAGTCCTCATATTATCAAAGAAATAAAATTATCAGTTTCTTATATATTTTCTGACCACAAGCAGTTCTTTAAATAACAGAAATCTTTAACTAAATCTGAAAATTCTAAAATGAAGAGAAACTGATTGAAGGGGGGGGGAAATGATTTTATAAAGAGAGAACATTTTTCTTCAAAGGTACATTGTTGAAATATTAACAAATTAGGAAATGAAGCTGAGACTATTGAGAACATTGATTTGTTTATTGAAATATATTAAATTAGAAAAAATGCTAAACAGAGGGAAGGTTATATGAATTAGCTAAAATAGCTGGCTAATTTTCAAATTTAAAAGACTAACATTTTTTATAGCTTTTAATGTATTATTATATTAATATCATTTTAGAATCAATATTATAAATTAAAATTGCTGTAAAATGTCCTTAGTGCTTTTTGAATAGGTATTTTTTAGAAATATTAGAAATCCAAGTTTTCATCTGCTTTATAACTTTCATAGATTTAGTAATCCTTAGTTGAGGGTTAAATCACCCTTTTCGGTTATGTTTCAGTTATTTAAAATTCATTTGAAATTATATAATTTAAGTTTAAAATTTCTACTGTTACTGTTTAACCCTGAAATGAGCCAAATATTTATGGAATATTATAAATACTGCATATAAAATTGATCAAGAATGATTTATTTCTTTGCCTAGTCGTGTGATTGAAATTCTTTTGCAAGACTGGTCACTTTCTCAGTCTCTGAGGGCAAATACCCTCAATCGCACTACAAAAATCCATAACAATGAGGTGGTATTAAAGGCTCTTCAGAATTCTTCTATTGAAATTGAAGGTAAGTAATCTGAATTGTTCAGTCTCTTTCTTTCCTTATAAGAACTGTAAAATAGGGTTTTGTTTCAGAAAGAAACAAAAATTCTTCAGTCTTAAATGAAAGTGAATGGTAATAAAAATTAGAGACGGACTATCCTCTCTAGAACTGATTAAATTTGCAAGGCGACTGATCCGAACCAGCTAAATGGAGTGGTAGGTCTTTAACCGCTTGCCTGATTATTGCGAGTTATCTTGGGTTTATATATTTTGCAGTTAATTATTATCCCAAGAAAACTCGGTCGAAGACAAATTTGCCAGTACGATTTGTTTTATCACAGTTTTTATCAGCCTGGAGGAAATGAAAGGAAATATTCAGCTTTGATAGGCAGTTTGCCAAGTTTGTTGGTTTCGCGGTTCTCTTGGCGGGGTTTGACACGTATTTTACCTATTGTATAGTATACGTCAGCTTGTGGATTAGTAATGTCTAAAAAAGGATGGTTGCATTGAAAAACTAATTTCAGAAAATCATCATGACGAGTTTTCTGACACATCCAGGAAAACCCAGCATTAGTCAAGTTAACCTCAAGGGATTTTCTAGATAGGGTTCGTATGGTCCTTAAAAGTCCTTAGGTTTTTTGGAATCGATTTTTGGTCTTTAAAAGTCCTTAATTTTGGCCAAAAATGGCAGAAGGTCCTTAATTTTAATCATCTGAAATTTCTGTCTGTTTTTATGACTGCCATTTTGAGTGTGAGTTAGTATTTTGAAGGACTAGTTTTGGCGATTCACTGACGTATATGGTTACTTTTAGAAAGGGTTACAATTTGTTCCTATTTCTAATATAAACGGTGGTATACTCAAGTTTTAAGCAAGAAGTGAAACATAAGCATTTCGAAATTCATTTTTGGTAATGAAGAACTCTTAACCACTTGCGCTAAAAAGACGTGCCACACACATTGAGATGTTTTTGTTTCAAACCACGCGCAAAAATGAAAATAACGTGGTGCACACATCACCTAACAACGAGAATGTTTGTTTCTCGAGTTACAGCTCTGGATTGCACTCGCAGATGCAGAGCAGCGTAAATGGGACACTTTACCGCTTGTTATATTGTAGCGCACGGCACCTAAACCGTGAAGTTTAGTCGTAGCACAAGTGGTTAAACAACTTTTCGCTTTTGGGGATGTCAATTCTTTTATTAAACGGTTCTAAATTTGGCGACTTTGGTAGGGATAATTTTTCTTTAGGAATTTAGACAATGAAGCCGGAAAAGTTTAGGAGGATTTGAAGGCTAGATTTATAGACCCACGATTCTAGAAAGTTAAAGAACTATGTGACAAAATGAAAAATGTCTCATGGTATTAACACATAATGGATGTATTTTACAGAAAGTTTGCGATGAATTTCTTACTTTTAGGAGAACGTCTGGAAGAAGAATGAAAACATAATATTTGAATATTTTACTTCTAATATTAGAATCTTTATCTTAACATGTTTATCTTCCCTTTTCTCTACTTTTCATCTGACACAAGCATGGAAAATATCAAAAAATGCTTCTGATCTTATCCCATGGACAGGTGTGAAATAAAAGGAATAAAAAAATTGAAAACTTAGATTAATCTAATGTTTTAATGTATCACGCACAGAGCTAGGGATTTTTCTACCTGATGCAATCTTTGTGGATCCTGAGTTCTGCTGCCTAGTGCCTTTCTAAATTTTTCTTCCAATGCCTGCTCTAAATTCTAAATGTTTTGTCATTTCTAGATTTTTTTTGCTTGGTGTTTCACTAAATTCTAAACATTCTGCTACACCAGCTCTGTAGCCGACCCTTACCATATATTTTTCATATTTCTTCTTTCATATATTTTTCATTTTCATATTTCTTTCATATTCTTTAGTAATATGAACATATATATATATATATATGTTCATATTACTAAAGAAATAAAATTAGGAGCTTTTTCTATACATTTTAAATGCATTTTTTTAGAATAACAGAAATCCTTATTTAAATCCAAAAATTCTAAAATGGAAAGGAATCATATTGGAGAAAGAAACTGAATACATAAAGAAAATTATTCTTCAAAGATATGTACAGTTATTATTATGTAAATTACCCTGTTGTTTATGATTTCAATCTTTACTATAATTTCCCATTTCTGTTTCCTCATATGATAGAGTTATTGAGCCAGCTTAAATTAAAATTAAACTTCATAGTCTTTGAACACTAACTCCACATGCATCATGATGATCTCTTTCTATACACAATGACTACTAGTCCACAAATTTTATTTTGAATTTTCTTGTTTAATTATATCACTATGAGCTACCAATTACATAATAATTTATTTTGTTAGCATCAGCACATGCCTTTATGTTTAAGTTCTTTTTAAATAAGAGGCTTATTTAAACCTTTGTCTGACATTGTATTTACTTTCAGACATGATTTGCTTTAAAATCATCATCATGAAAACTCGTCATGATTGCTTCACATCTGTCAGGGGGTTTTGGACTATTTAACTTTTACCAGATCAAGTAAATCCTCATAGGTACATTGTGGAGAGGTTGACAAGTTAGGAAATAAAGCACGCAGAAACTAGCGAGAGCTTTAGTTTCATATTGAGACAAATCTCTCATTGTTAGAAAAGATGCTTAAAGAGAAGTAAATCTATATAAATTAGCCAAAATGTCTGGAAAGGCTTCAAATTAAAAAGAAGCATAAATCTTTTGTTGATTGTTCTTGTTACAAAACACTTATGTTTTGGGGCATTTAATGTGTAATTATCCTAATATCTTTTAAGAATGAATGTTATAAATTTTATTAGATTGTGATTTTAATAGGGCTTTTTTAACAAATATTGTTAAAAAATAAATAAAATTTAATAGTGTCCATGTAAATCCATAATGACTAAGGTTATCTAACTACCTAATTTAATTATTTATAATTAACTGCTTATCCTTAAAAATTATCTCTACATATTAAAGCGAGTTATTGTCTTTCATTAATACTCACTGTAGTCACAAGATAAAATAAAAAATGTAGAAATTCAATTAAAACTTATTCTTTGCATCTGACTGAGATTTGAAATAATAAAAAACTTATCACCTCTTGTGCTTTAATGGCTTATTAGAACCTTAATGTATATTAACTGGGTTACAACCCCTGGAACTCTACACAAAACTACGACACTAACTGCGTCAGACAGAGCCCAACTAATTTTCAAAACTTGCCAACAGTGTCTATATAAGGCCTTTCAGGTTTCTTCCAATCAGCAGGTCTCTCTGTAGGCAAGCAGCAGCGGTGACAACATCCAGTCTTTTGTTATGAAACATATTGATTATGATCTTACTTCTCATTTTAACATGTCGCTTGACATAAAGTCTACCTGTTATTTAGTACACCTCTAGACTTAGCAACTATTCAACTATATGACAAAATGAGATAAAAAAAAAATGAAGCTAACTGTTAATAAAACAGAAATAAAATGTCACTTATCTTCTTTCAAATATTTCCATCTATTATGTGTGTAAAATATTTAATGCTACTTGCTAAATTTCATAAAGTTTATTTTATTCTCAAATTTATCAACAATTATGTTAATTCATTTTTAATAATAATGCATCCTACTTACAGATATATTTTATTTTTAGGATAGTATTACCAGTGCAGGATTTACATATAAGCTATACAAGCTATAGCTTAGGGCCCCCAGAAAATTAAAATATAGTATAATAAGCTCATAAATAGCCCCATACCTCAAATAGCTTAGGGCCTTATCAAGTCTAAATCTGGCTGTGGGTATTACAAAAGTGAAGTTCAATCATAGATAATAATTTTAATTGAATTTATTCAGTTCCATTTCCTCATAGGTTCTTAATTTTTTTTCATTAATGGTCCTTAAAAGTACTTAATTTCCGTGTGCAGAAATGTGTACAAACCCTGCTAGATGTTATTCCTGCTACTGAAAAGATAATGAAATCCAACGAGACAGTGTACTCAGTGCACTTGTAAAAGAGAGTCCAGAGGTGGGCCAGTAAGAAAAGAGACCAGATACCAGTGTACAGAATGTCAGGTATCATTTTGTGTTGTCCCTTGTTTCAAAAACTGTCATACAAAGACTAATCTTTAACTTTCCCCATTTTGCCCGAGATAACTCGGGATAGTAAACTCGTATTAAAACTAAATGCTTTTACACCTGTAAAAAATTAAAACTTCAACTTAAAACGTACATATTTTGTTTTGCTTAGTTTCCTTATATTAAATAATAAATTTTTTTAAAAAAAAAATGTGATGATTTTTTGCAATTTTTTCAAAACATTTTGTAAGAGAAGTGGTCAAGAGTTCACGGAGAACTCTTGTTATAAAGCATACCAAAAATTTTATTCCTTTTATATATAAATGCTAATATTCCTTCCTTTAATATTTACTGCAAATGTCTCTCACCTTCTCTCTCTCTCCTTGTCCCCCTTTTTGTGTGTGTTATATGTATATATGCTGTGTGTGCTTTTGGTTTGCTTGGTGTATTTAAAAAACTAAACATGAAATAGACCACGTCTAAGTGAAACTGATCACTCCTGTTTGTAAATAGATGGAGTGTTTTTTCCCCATCTCATAGTGTGAAGATCTTCCTCCTCGGACTTCTGCCATGCTTCTTCTCTAATCACAGATCTGAGTCCTTCGGAGCGTTGTTTATTCATTCTTTCTATCACTCTAGCATGCCTTCTCTAGCTGCAAATCTGGCTGCTGTGGAGTTCTGATTATTTGTTCTTTTCATTTCCTTGGAACTCTTGCTTTGAGTTTCATTTCAATTCTTCGACTACTGTATCATAGTATATCTATACATATTAGATATTCCTTTTTTATACAATATTGTTATAACATTTATATAAAACAATAAATTATATTTTTAGCAATCGCCTTTGTTGGGAATCGAACCGCGGACCTCTGGAATACCGGCCCAGTGTGCAGAACCGTTACACCACGAAGGCACGCTAGGAAAGCGGGAGAAATACCTTACGTACTCCCCTTTTTAAAGGGCGACTATGGTTTTAGGGAACCTAGTCGCCAAATCCTGGGTATGGATAATCATCATCCACAACCCTTTTTAGTTTGGGCGCCATTGTAGAGACATTAGGTATTTTTGGAGGCCGGAGAGATGAAAAATTAGCAACCGTCTTCGCCGGGAATAGAACCACTGACCTCTGGAATATCGGCCCAGTGTTCAGAACACCACTACACCACGAAGGCACGCTAGGAAAGCAGGAGGATTGTGGGTGATGATTCTCCATACCAAGGATTTGGCGACTAGGTCCCCTAAAACCCTAGTTGCCCTTTAAAAATGGGAATATATATGGTATTTCTCCCACTTTCCTAGCGTGCCTTCTTGGTGTAGTGGTTCTGCACACTGGGCCGGTATGCCAGAGGTCCGCGGTTTGATTCCCGGCAAAGGCGGTTGCTAATTTTTCATCTCTCCGGCCTCCAAAAATACCTAAATTATCTTTTTATTTATTTACTTACTAACATCAAGAGCTGTGAATTTATCTTTAATCTTTTTTAGAATTATTATATATTTACAAACATAAATTTTTCCATCTAATGTATTTTTCAAGGTTGCAGAACAAAAAGTCAACCCTACCACATAGAAGAACATTGAGTGATGTTTGGTATCATTTTGTCAAATTAGATAAAAAAATTAAAATGTTGGTACTGTCAGCAGACATTTTCCTGCTCTTTGGGATCTGCCTCCAATCTAAAAATTTATTTTTACATTGTGCTTTGTAGTAGCAACAAAATATCAATCTCTTCATATAATAAAAGAAAGAGCCTGTCTCTGTGTGTGTGTGTGTGTGTGTCTTTCGTTCGTGCTGCACGTAAGCTAATAGACCCACGGCTACGAAATTTGGTACATAGGTGCATCTAGACAAGAGCCAATGTACCTCGAAGCAATTTTTTTTTTAAATTCGAATTCGAATTTTTTTTATTTTATGTTTTGTGACAAAATCGCGTCATTTTGAAGCATAATGGGCTATAGGAAAGCGAGATTTTACTCTACACACTCTATTTTCACATCGTCATGAAAAGTAGGCACTTAGCTATTTTACGAACTTAACATAAATTTCGTGTTTCAATAAATCGATTAAATACAAATTTATTTAACAAAGGGAGCTTAACGCCTTTTCAATGGGATTTTTTTCTAAAAAAGTTTTTTTTTTTAATGTAAAACTTATTTTTCTTTGATTTTTGGACACGTTAAACGTTCATCCTTGCGACTGCTTTTACAAAATTTTGGAGAAATGATAATAATATCCCTTGAATAAATTTGTGGTCAGATAAAGTAGGCACTGCAGACCGTCACAGTGGGCATGCTACACCAAGTATAAATTTGATTACGATGTTGATGTGTGTCGTGTGACCAAGGGTGCACATATTGAAGGATTGTGATTAATGCATCGAAAAATTGAACAGTTTCCTCTTCTTAGACTGTAAGGTTTGCCCTGTAAAGTAATACATTGATTTATTATTAATTTTTAAAACTGCACCACTCATTCATAAACATCCTGTATATAAATGATAATATATACCATATATTTCTGCAGATAAGATAAGGGGTAAATTTTCGTCAAAGTTTTATAGTTTTAGCAAATATTTGTCCTATCAAATGACACTCAAAGTGTCAGTGGCTTATGAATTTAGTTTAGATCAGTGATCATTTTTTGGAGCAAATTTTATTTTCTTGTATTTGGCAGCATTGCATATAGAAGCATGTACCAAATCATATACTTATATGTACTTCTAACAAGTTTCACTATAGGTAGTGTCCGTGTGTTCAAATTACTTGTATTATAAGTGTAATCAGCATAAAATTTGTAAAGTATTGACCTAATCATGGAACCAACAAAAAGAAAGAAATATGAAACAAATTTAAGTTAACAGTCGTAAAATAGGCTAAAGAATTAAATAAGTGTGCTGCAGCAATGACTTTTGATATAACGGAGAAGATGGAAGGAATGAAGATGCTATACTAAAATGCCAATGAAAAAGTAATCTATGAGGAGATGAATATCTTGCTGACCATATTTAGATTGTTGCAGAATGGGTACAAAAACAGAAGCAGAATTGTTATGTTATTCTTGAAATAAGCAGAATTGTTATGTTATTCTTGAAATTCTTGAACAAGAAATATAATTAGGTCTTATGCATCAAGGCGGGCCAGTCCAGAATAAGGCAAAGAATTTAAAGCAACAGTAAGTTGGCATAATCATTTCATGAGCAGAAAAAAATCTATCAGAGCGACAAAAAGCAAAAATTGTGCAGAAATTACCACAATATTTCAACCATAAAGTTGCAAGGTTTTGCAAATTTGCTATTGGCTTGAAACAAAACTACAACTTTCCATTATCTAATATTGGAAGTGTGGAAGAAACACGGATGAACTGCGACTTGACAAGCATAGAGCTGTGGAAACAAAAGACATATATGCTATGAAAAGACCAGGTTCGCAGTATTATTAACATTGTAGATAGAACAAAGTTAAAAACCCACTGTCATTTTTAAGAAGAAAACTACTCCTGAAATAAAATTTCTGTTGGACATTTTTGTACATTTTCACGGAAAAGGGTGGTTGGACAAGAAGGTGTAAAATGTTTTGCAGAGGCAACCATGTACTGTACGAAATGAACACTATTTGTTAATGTGGGATATGTTTCGCAGTCACATAACTGAGAACACTAAAAGTTGCTTTGCACAAAACAGTGCTAAGATTGCTGTGATTCCAGGTGGTTTAACTTCGATGTTACAACCTTAAGACATCTCTGAATAAATCATTCAAAGGTCACATGCGGGAAAATGGAATAACTGGACGATGAGTGATAAAAAATTATTTGTGAAAGGAGCTATGGGGGCTGCATCACTCAAGGTGTTGTGTGATTTCATGATCAAATCATGAGAAAAAGTGAAAGTAAAAACAATAATCAAATCATGAGAAAATGAGGGATTTTTAGTACTAAAGATAGCACTGAGGCCATTTGTTATGGTATGCTGATCAAGAAATGGAAATCAACTCTCTAGGTATGAAATGGGACCCATATAATGAGCTTCTCAACAGTGAAAGTGATGATGTACTTGAGCTATTTACTTTCGATGATGATGAATATGAGGATTTTGCAAGCAAAATTTTAAATACATTAGCAAGCGATTTGTTTTATTTTATAATGGTTTTAATTTGTATAAATTTCAATCTAGTTTATTTTACTTTTTGTTATTATTATTTTGTAACCATCCTATAAGATGACCCCAAATTTTGGAGGGCCTTTTTCTACAATTCAGCTATTGTCTCATCTGTGGAATTATACAGTATGTATTGCATGTTGTGTACATACCCCTAATGTATGCATGTGAATGTAGTATGCTTCATGCACTTTATGTAAGTTTATAATATCTTTTAAAATCGTACTTTTTAATTTAATTTGCCTTGAACTTTCATTGCATTCAGAGGGTATTACTTGAAAGGTGGGTAATAAATCTTCTGTTTTATATACTTATTCCTAATACGTTTTGATTGGAATAATGTTTTATTGCATGACAATAGTTTTTTTTCTCTCATATCTGGGAACATTTATTTTTCTTTTATGCTATGATTTATAGCAGGCATACATAAAATCAAAATCCTGAAGTGAAAGGCAAGATATTTTCTAAGAAACAATAAATTACATTTAAAAATATGAGCAATAAAAGTATTAGAAATTACTTAAATGTTTAAAAATATTAAGTGCTTTAATCAATATTTTAGGTGTTTTGATTCATATTTTAATGTTGTGCTTTTTCAAAGGAATATTTTGAAAGAAATATGCTCTTTCTTTTTTTAAAATCTTTCAAATTCAATTATTTATTGGTTACATCCATTAAAATGTAATTTTTAAAGCAGTACTCGTGACTGTTATTTTCTTCAGTAAACTTATTAAAATTCTTATGTCTTTAGGCAATATAGAAGCTCGTGATATTGTTGATGGTAACCGAGAGAAGACTTTGAGCTTGCTGTGGCAAATTATTTTTAAAACTCAGGTATGTTTCTAATTCATTAGTTGATCCCAACATTTTCGGCCTAAAAATACATTTATTCTTGTTTATGTAATAATATTTTTTCCTATTTATTTACTTTTAAGATATCAAAACACATTAATAAAGAAGTGCTGAGAAGAGAAAATGACTATCTTATGAATAACCTTAAGCTTAAGGTTGAATGTGCTGCATTTAATGCTTTAAGAAACCATACCTTATCTGAAGTATATGATGCTGATTTTATCGATTCTAAATTGTATAAAGAAAACGAAGTTCTGCAGTTGTTACTTCAGTGGTGTCAGAATGTCTGTGCTCATTATGATTACAAAGTAAGTATTTTGTATTTTATTCTATAATTTGTTGCATTGAAAGTTTGCTTGAAATCATAAATTTAAAATGAGTGTAAAAATTAATAAATCTTTAGTAAAGCAAGTTATTTACAAAATTAATTTTCAGTTTAATATTTTAAGTTTTGAAAGCATTTCTAATATGGATATAAATAATTTATTATAATGTACTTAAATATATATATTTCTTTTCCAACAGGTTTGTAATTTCACATCATCTTTCTCAGATGGCCAAGCTTTGTGTTTCCTTCTTCATCATTATCACCCAAATATCCTGCCATTTGATTCTATCAAAAGAAAGACAGTCAGCAGCTATTATGAGACACAAATTGAAAACAGTGATTCTGAAGGGAATAATCCACTTCAGTCAGATGATAGTAAGAGATGTAACATAACTGTACTTCTTTTCTTCACATTAATACAACTTACTCATAAGTCAGTGAAAGTAAACTTTATTATTTATTGATTGCTATCCCAGTTATTTCAAGTTGCATTAAAGGATACAAATTGTGTCAAATGCATTTTCAAAAAAAGATCCACTGGCAAAAGACCAAAATCTTATGCTAATTTTGCATCAAAAGAAAAGTATCAATTAATGCCACAAAATTTTGAGAATTTTTACATATTGTACAATAAACTTAAAAAAAAAAAAAAAAAAAAAAAAAAAAAAAAAAAGAGGAGCAGTCCTGTATTTTTTCTTTGAATTAGCTGATTAACAAAATTTAAATTACATTTTCTTGTATCAAAAAATAATTATGATCAATGCTGGATTTATGTATAGCATAATGTTAAAGCATTAAAAAAAAAAAAAATTAGACTTTTCCTTAATATGGCTGTTGAGCCAGGTAAAATAGCAGTTGTAGAATGGTAATCCTATCACCCACCTTATTATCCCACTCTTGTATCGGCAAGTAAATTTCTATTTACTTTGTCAAATTTATTATTTAGTGATTGTTATGTAGGACAGGCTATTAGCAAGAATGTAAGCAAAAGAGGGAAAACTAATAAATTGAAATTAATATTTTAAAAATTAATAAAAGTCAATAACTTGATCTAAAATCTGGAATTTTTTTTTTTTTTTTTTTAAATCAGTAATATGGGAATGATAAAAGATGCTTCTGTTGTTTTTGGATTCAAATTAATTTCTTCCCTATGAAAAACCATTTTATGTATTTTTACATTTATAAAATAAATAATTTTAAATTCCTGTTCACTTTCAAATTTTAATGCAATTTTTTTTACTTTTCATAGCTACAGAACAAATCCAACTACAACATTTTATAACCAAGATAAAACTTCTTTCTGGCAAAGCTGTTAGTATTTTTTCAAAATAGAAGTAGATTTCAGTATATAAAATTTCAAATTTAAAATACTTTTATAAAATCTCCATGTTGAAGCTCCTTGTATTTTCATTATGTACTATCATGAACAGTACTTATGTGTTATTTCAACCACCTTAGTAGAAGTCGCCAAATTTTCAGAATGTGCCAAACTCATAGTATGACCGTACTCATAATAGTCCTTTAGTTAAGCAATGTCACCATTTTCATACGCATTCTTTTTGTTGTATTCCAAGTTTCAGTGTTTTGTAAAAAAGATCAGGATATTTTTTTGCCCTGAACTAAGTTAATTTAAAATTTCTTAATGTGCTTGTGAAATTTTTTAGCAATGGAAGAAACTGCAGTAAATTTTTTTCAGGAATATAGAATTTTGGGGCAAAATCTCTAAAGGGAACAATAAAGAGAAGCTTTTGGTAGATAGCTGGTGTTAACAGGATTTACATGATGCCGAATGTCTATAACAGGGTTGCCATGCTACTGAAAAATCAAAAAAAGTCGGGGAATTTTAAAATTTACCAAAAAATTTAGGGAATTTCACATGGGGATCCCCAAAAAGTGAGTTTTGTGCCAATGTTGGAAGTGATCACTTTGTTGGCGAATTATCTATCGCATGAGCATCATTCGAGCAGCTGGCATAGAGCCAATTTTTCCAGCTCCAATCAGATTGTCTTTTAGAAAGGCAAAACAAGTTTCCAGTAACCTCGAGAATTGAGAGACTCGCATGTGCAATGCATGTTGAACTAAAGAAAATACTCTCCCATTCTCGTATAAAACAAAATTGGTTTAATCCTAGTATACAGTACTATGGAGAGTAGAATAGCCTCCATGTACTGTATTCTAACCTTGATGTACAGTGCACATGGGATTTGGCAACATTATGATGAGCAGTAAATGAGTCATTTTGGTGTTGGGGACAATTTTAAAAATTGAGCCAAGGCCGTAACATATAATACAATTTTATTCCAAAATCTTAAAAACTCTTTTTTATTACATATATATATGTATGTGTGTGTAAATGGCTTATTTTTCATTTTGCAGTAAAATAAAAAAAATAGTAATTGGTCATCTAGGCTATCCAATTCGCCAAAATATCATTGATTATTGTAATTCAATTTTTAAGTAATTGAGTTTATTTTAATGTTATTCATATCATTTAATGTTGCTTCTTTCCTCTAAATTTATTTATTATTAGTTAATATTACTTTCAAATTTCTGGCATAATTCTGAAACATACTATCACAAAATTTAATGCACATATTTTTTGCTTATGTATGCTGCTAAATAAATACAAAATACCTGAATTTATTTGAAAATATCATTAAATAGACTTCTTTCTTTCGTTTAGAGGGGAGAGGACATTTTTTAATCCAGATTGGGCAGATTATAAGGTCAATCGTCAGTGGAGAAAACATCTTCTATTATAGTTATAATAGTAATACTCTGGGGATTATAATTATATATATAATATACAAATATTCTCTATTCATATAAAGCAAATATAAAATTTTTTATTCGTATGCATCAAATATAAAATTAAAAATTTAATTAAGAAATTTTAATTGCAAAAAAATAAAAATTATTATTGCTGCGAACTAATTTACAATATCATTTGAATTCTAAGAGCATATGTAAATGCACTTATCTAATACCATGAAAAAATTATTCCAAAAAATAAATTTATTATTCCTAAAAATTGCATAAGTGAATAATTGTTGAGCAGACAAGAGACACACTTATCAAGGGAAAGTTGCCCCCAAAACTAACTCTTCAATTACTCAATTCGTGTTTCATCATCCATATAGGCAAGGGTAAAAGTAAAATCCAAAACCAAATTTAATGTATCACCTGATCCTTATTTAATCATTAAAATTGCTAAAGTATGTTTTCTTTTCATATGTTTATAATGTTTGCTAACTTCTGATAAATAATGATAATCTACAAATCCTTTTTTTAACAAAAGTCACAAAAACCACTAACTTGCATCCGATAAGTCACTTTTATCTTTTCACCTGTAAAAAATAGCTATATTGTTCTATAGTTGTAATGTTAATATATAAGTACCTCCTCATCTGTTTAAAGTCTTTTAAATGGCTTACTCCAAATTTTTGCAATTTCTGTTATGTTTGTTTGGTTTAAAAGCATTTTTTAAAATTCTAATATATTTAAAATTTTTGGCTTTGTGTCAATGCTAAGCCAATTCAAATTAATCTAAAGTAATTTGTAATATGTGTAAAATATTAAATACTGATTATTGATTGAATTTTAAAGTATATTTTGTTGTTTGTTTTTGATAACTGCTTATCAAAAGTTGTCAAGACATTGTTGGTAAAATATAGTCATTTGATGGAGAAAGTTTAAATATTGATTAAATAATAAAAATTTTAAATACAAGGTAAATTTTTAGTGGAAGCTGTAAAGATTACACTTAAACTGTCAGGACTTGTATGTCTTTTGATCTACTTATTATTATACTACGTGTCCTGAATAAGAACAGGGAGCTTATGTTCAAATGTGTGGAATGGCAGCACCAGCAGGAAGGGTGTACTGAACCCTTTATTCTCTATAAGATTACAGGTGCTCCCGTACTTCGGGATACAGAGACCAACGTAAAACGTCTGAACGTAAAAATATAAAACTACTAACTAAAATTCTAACTAAGAGCTAACTTTAAATACGAATGCCTTAACACTAAGACTGGCCTTTTTAAAAGGTTACGTATGTAGTACTCAAACAGCTGAAACTACAATATGTTTTAAATGCAAGAGGATTAAACCTCTAGCCTTAAAGACAAACAGCAACTGATTGAAAATTCATACAGAATGCAGTGGCAAGGTGGCTCACTTTCCCTCTCTCTCTAACTCTTGGCAAAACACCACAACTTAAATACTTGGGCTTTAGCAAGTGCAATTTGCATAAATAAGTTAACACATTTAATTCTGGCCGGAAGTGGAAAATAAGAAGTGATAGTACAGTTTTAAAATAAAATAAACGTTAGTAAAACTTAAGATCCTTACAAAATAACCATAAAAATTTAATTTATAAATGATAAATTCAGTTATGTAAGATAAAACACATTTGGAGAATTCAGTAATTACATACACTATAAGTAAGTTCTAACTGTTAATTATTGTGTTTGATAAAGAAATAGGAATCAATACTAAACTCCTATCAAACCCATCTTTTTATTTTTTGGATGTAATTTTGAAGCCTAAAAAACTTAGTTTCCTCTTCTCATTCTACTTATAAGTGAAAGGTACATTATGTCAGTATATCAGGACTGACTGATTAAATGATGTTTAGGATTGAGTATCTTTATATGTAGAGTGCATCAGCATTTTATAACATTAAATTTCATCTCTGCCATATTTCTTTATATGTACTTTTTTATGACTTTTGTTTTTATTTCTTTTTAGTAGAATTTAGCAGTTTTATACAAAATATTTGCAAAAATAAGAAATTATCAATTTTATACAAAATATTAGCAAAAACTAGAAATTATCAATTCTATACAAAACAAAACCAAAAAAAAAAAAAAAAAAGTAATGAACAGTGCAGAAACAAGAACTGTAATCTACTTTTGTCTATTCTAAAATATTCAGTTTTACTTTATACCTTTTTAAATGTACATTCATCTGTAGTATAAAGGGAAAAGACAATTGTTATATTTCTTTTATTGCTTTAAATCATGATGCAATAATTGTCTTCTCTTTCCCCCCCCCCATTTTAGTAATGTTCAAATGAATGGTACTTTTAGTTGTAATTTTAATTAGATGGTAAATATTCATTTCTTTATAGTGGCAATAGGATACCTTCATCTTTTACAATAAATGGCTGCATTTTTTAACAAAACAATAAAATTGCTAGTAAGATTCATCTCCTTGTAATGACAATAGGATAATTCTTTCATCTTTTACTAAAAATGGCTGCATTTTTTGCCATAAAGCTGCATGGGCTGGAGTGTACTGAAAATATTTAAATATGGAAAGAAAGTAATTTTTAAAGTTATATTAGTAGAAATTAATACAGTATTATGTGATAGTTTCAAAAATGTTAATTTGAACATCAGAAATTAAGCAAACAGTCAATTTTATTTATTTAAAAAATATTAAGAAATAAGAGAGAAACACCAGTTTTAAGAAAGTCTGGTGCAAGTCCGTCTCATGTAAGGAGCAGAAAAACTTGTATCAATTTATATAATTTTTATTATCCTGTAAAATGAATATAGTTTTTCTGTAAAAATAGCATTAACATGAGATTAAATTTTGCCTATTTTTATAAATAGCACAGTTTTTATTTATTATTTTTAGTTAAACTTGCATATATTCAAATTTCTGTTTCTGAAAGTACTATCAAATATATCATTCTTGTAACATTTTGTTATCTATCAGTATTTTTTTAGGATATGGCAGCCATTTACTTCTAATTTTGTATTATTGCCATAAATGATTAGTTAGTTTTATATTATAAAAAGTTTAAAATCTAAAAAAAAATTTTGTTTCATAATTTTTATTTTGCAAATTATTAATTAATATTTTGAAATCATATGGAAACTTCTATTAACTCCTGTAAAAATAATAATAATAACTTAATTTTACATTTGTGTTTTTTAGAACACTCCAATTCATTGTTACTGGAAGAATGCCTTAAAAATGAGAAGCAAAATTTAGAACTGGTTTTTGAAAAGGTAGGCTGATTATCACATATGACTCTTTTAAGTTTGAAATTTTATCTTCTATGTTTCATATCACTAGAATTTATTGACAGTTTTTATCAACTTTCAAAATCTAGATACTGATATACACTGGTGTGCAAAACTTAAGCAACAATGTAAATTTTAATCAGGTAGCCATGAAATTGCAGAAAAGGGATTCGTGCGATCAGTACAATGAACACTCATTTCAGTAGAAAGGTCATGCGTATACAAAGGTCAGGAACAAAACTTCACAGGCAATGTTGAGCATACGCAAAACGCGTGCGGTCGGCTAATTGAAGCCATACTATGCAAGGTGTTGCTGTATAATAATGCCACAATTTTTCTCATCACCAAGCATTTACTACCACCCGTATTTAGTCACTTGTATGATTTATACTTACGTCTATTTTTCGCATATGCTTAAGGTTTATCCGAGTAGAACATATAAAATTTAATCCTTAATTATGAAACAACTTATAAAAATATATTATTTTTTCATTGATAAAAATCTCTTGGTTAATGCTAAAGTCTATATCTACTCAAACATTGGGAATACTAGGTATCACTTTCATTTCTATCTTCACCTGGTAAAAGACTGACATGGAATTATTGATTCATGCTCAAAGTTTAATTGAATAAATACAGTACAAAAGTCTCAGATCTGGACGTCCAGTATCCGAGATGATCTAAAATCCAAACCTCAAAGCCACCAACAACCTCTCTTTTTCTTTTCTCCTGTATGCTTTACGCATGTGCATTCGATTTTTTCCCCCATAATAAAACATGTGGAGAGTTCCGTTTCTTAATTTCACTTCGGCACTAATAAAATACCTCTTTATTCAAGAAACAATAATTTTAGCATAAATTAGCTTGATCAATGATTTAGTTCCATAGCTGCATACCTGACTTGTATGCATCTCAAACCAAAACCACTCTACATAGAAACATCGTTGATTTTACGCTAATAATATTTTATATTCTTGATGAGAACCTGACGAATCATTATTTATTATATTTTGTTTTCATCACCACAAGTTATCACACACACTTGTCTCATGCACCGTTGCCTAAATAATTTTATATATATTAGTAATCGAATAGCAAAAATTGTGGTAATCTTTTATGTTGACGTTATGCTTGGGAATGATTACATATTTAAGTTAAATGCTCGAAGAAATGTTGATGAGTAAACATTTAACAAAAACTTCTTACATATGTTAAAAAAAGATTTTACCTATGATACTTATAAACCCAAAGATTACATTTAATGCTATTTGATTTAAGAATAACTGATTTGTTATTCAGATAAACCCAGAACCAGTACCAGAGCTCGTGTGGACGCACCGTGCTGCAAAATACGGGAAAGACAAAATTTTTGGAATATAGAGAGGCACCGAGGAACAAAATTTTTAGAGTTTAGGGAAAGCACTGGGACCCAAAATTTAAAGGCAGTAAAAATTTAGAACTTAAGGAGGCACTTGGTAGCAGAATTTGGGACCCCCAGAGACTGCATCAGGCGGCAAGGTCTCTAGTGCAGACCCTCAATAAGTGTTAAATGTAAGTGCAAATTTATTTATTCAGGACTCGGGTAAGCCTTAAGCATATGTGAAAAATAGACATAAGTATAATAAATAACTAAATCAATACAATTCAGGCTTTAACTGCTTCAGTGTTCGATAGAAGCAACGCAAAATTTAAAGGAAGAACTTGTCTTTCGTCACCAATGTCATGACACATAGCCAATAATGTATAGTGGATGTTATTAAGCTAGGCTAAAATTATACTTTGTTGATTCCAAGGAATTTCAGTTAATACGGCAGATTGCCCTTGACCTTAACTTTCTAATTTGATCCAGCTTATTATTTTTTTGCAGGCTGTTATTACAACGGTTTTATGAAAATTAAAGTTTGAACTTTTGAATTTGTCAAAAAGAGTTTCTATTTTAGGATTTACAAAGAGAAAGCATGTTTTGATGTCCATGAAACAAAAAGTGGAATTGCTGCAAAAATTGGAAAAGGGTATATCTGTCTTAAGTATGGCATTGGAAAATCAACTGTATATGACATAAGAAAATAGAAAAAGGAATTTTTTGAATTTTTTTAGATTCCGACACCCCACTTGCAATGAATAATAGAAAAACTATTTGTTATGCTAAAAGTGACTATCATGACAAAGTGATGATTGAATGGGTCAGACTGCATTTACAGCAAGGGCTTGCCCATTGACGAAAACAATGCTAATGGATCGAGTCAAAATATTTCATGAAGAAATGAACTTAAAAACTGAGTCCACGTATTCAACAGGTTGTTTAACCAAATTTAAAAAATCGCCATGGTTTAAGGCAATTAAAAATTTCAGGTGCAAAGGCTTCAGCTTATACTGAAGCTGCTGAACTATTTGCAGATGAATTCATTGAACTCATTAATAGTGAAAAGTTACCTCCAGAACAAATTTACAATGCTGATGGAACTGGTCTTTTTTAGCAATATGTTTCGTGAAATACCTTGGCAACTTTTACAGAAAAGGCGTCAACTCGTGCCAAAGCGAAACTAACAATTTTAGCATGTGCAAGAACACACAAGTGTAAACTTTTCATACCCCCCCCCAAAAAAAAACCTGAGCTCAAGCATTTAAAGGAGTAATGAATTTCCCCGTTATATACTGGGAAAATAAAAGAGGTTTGAAAATCATTTCATGCCCGAGGCTCGGCAACATTTGAATTCGGTTCATTTACCTGATGATGCAAAAATAGTCCCTAATTGTAGACAACCATTCGGTTCATACTTCGCTTAAAGTTTTAGCAAAAGATAATGTATCCTTGTTATTCTTTCCTCCAAATTGTACATGCATCATTCAAGCTATGGATGGATATCATAATAGTACATGTGTTGAAATGCAAATATATAGTAATTTTTTTTTTTTAAATCCCTGTTAAATTTTTTGAATAATGGGAAGATGGTTCAAGAATTTTTTAAATGCTCTAGCATAAAACCTGCTGTGTAGAGATTTCATGGTGAGGATGATGAAGATGATAGCTTTGAATTTGAAGGCTTTCAGATAATGCAAACCAAAGGTGAAATTTTCCAATTAATGGATTTTGGATTAGTAAAGAAATGTGGAGAAGCACTAATAAATAAAGATGATATAACAGAAATTGCTCATTGCAATGACAATGCCCCAATCATGAATCAACTAACGGGTGGCAAAATCTATAGTATGGTTCTAGATCCAGAAAATACCTCTACCATTAGTGAAGAAAGTGACATAGAGGTTATTGAAAACGAAAAAATTTCGACTGATTAGTCAGTCAAAATTCTCGACACAGCAATCGCAGGTCTTTAACAAAATGGAGTGTTTAACTTAACAAGATATTATGTCTGTCTATAGAATTAAAGAGAAAGTTTTAGCACAAAAAACGAAGCTACTCTAACATCTTACATTAAAAGAAATGTTTAATAAAGTAAACAAATAAATATTAAGCTTTGTTTTTATAAATTTTGATATCCTTTAGATTTTGCTTCGTTATTTCATAAATCATATTTTTAATTTCTGTGTGTCATTTTACTAGATTTAAATTGATGATCTAATATCCGAAAAAAATCCCAAATCCAGAATTGCTGAAGTGCCAACGAGTCCGAATCTTTTACTTTGCACTGTACTAATTTTTTCTTGGATTTTGTGTGTGATCTTAATGAATGATGGCAAAAATATAATCTTTAATAAGCACAAATTATAACTGTAGTAAAATAGAATAGTTGTGGATATGATTTAATATTTAAAAATTTTCTGGGGGTATATGCACATTTTGAACTGGTTCCAGAAAACAGTGTAACTTAGGAAATTTAAGAACAGTAACAATTGAAGTGATTCGTTAAAATCTAATGGAGCTATTCCATTGAGTAAAATCTTTTAAAAGGAATGTCTATTGATTGATCATTAAAAAAGCTATTTTTGTGAATATATTAAATTTGCAAAATTTGCTGATAGTTTCTAATAATCTGATTTAAATATTTTTCTGTAATTTTTTTTCAGAATGTTATAACTCTTATTAATAAGTTTTTGTATTATTTCCCGCATTTAGGAGCAATTTTTATACTTTTGTTATAGCTGTACAATTTTTTTTTTTTTTCTGCAAGTTTATTATTTGTTATGAACAGCAAGCAATTAAGGATTATAAATTTGCAAAGAAAAAAGGTATCACTGTGTTATGCATATGATCCTCTTTAATCTTTAAGATATGTAAGTATTTAAACAATCCTATTTCTACAGTCATTATGATAACAACAAAAGCAAGCATAAATTAGCATAGCAAAATAAGTAAATATCTACTCAGATTATTTTATGAAGAATTTAAATTATGAGGTATATTTTTTAATCATAAATACCTGAATAAAAAAGTGTTACTTTTAATATTATATAAGCAAACTTTCAAAATTTCTTTTTGATTCTTTAATTGAAAATATCTATTTTATACTAAATTTCTTTTCTTTTCCCTTAGTTTGTGGAAATTGGTCAAATACCTATTTTGTCTTGCCCATCTGATATTTCTAACACTTTGCCTGATGAAAAAGTTATTATTACTTTAGTATCTTATGTTAATATCCGCCTCATGGAATTGAGTACTGAAATAAGAGCTGCTAGAAGAATTTTGTTTGCTTGGCGCAAATATCGATTGAGGAAGCAACTTAAACATTTTAAGGTATGTATTCCCAGTCACTATTTTATGCATCTGTGACTAATCATTTCTGAAACATCTTCTCTAATACTCTGATTCTTAGGTTTTTATGATTTGATCCTTCACATAATCAGCATTATTTAAGAACATCATGTATGCACTGTGATGCTCCATTCTAAATTCAAAAAATGTAATTGATGAAGTCTAAATGATACAACGGTTAATAAAATAATGTAATCACTGAAATTTGAAATTCTTCAAATTACTATTTTGAACTCCTTTTAGTCAGCTTTTGTTTATCTTTTCTTTTATAATTATCTAAAATCATTTAACATTGAAAATTCACCTATGATATTTATTGACACCTATAATATTGGTAAAGAGATTTTTGTTCTTTCAGAAATCTTGATATTTTTATGGAAAATAGAACTTGTTTTACTGCAAAAGATAATGCAGTCTTTATTAAAGAGATAAGAAAATTTGAAACTTTCATTTTTTTCCTTTAAACATTCCTCAAAGAAAACATTTTGGGCTGTTTATTATTTTTTAATTTGTTGTAAATGATTCATAATAAATTGATAGTGTTGCTAGATGATGATATACAAGCTATTTTGTATCATAAATGTTTATTGCTTTTTAGTGAAATAAAATAAACCATTTAATTTGTCATTTTGTCTAAACCAATGATTCTCAACCAGTGGTATGCAAAGAAACAAAGTATTTTTAACTATTAAATTCAAAAATTAAATATCCCAACATACTGTTTAAGTTTTTTCTCTAACACTCATACATTTATGCAATCTGGGCTTTGTCTGAGGTCAGTAGCTGCTCATAGACTTGATGAAGTCTAGTGATATAGCAAAATAATCAGTTTTTATTTTCACAAATATTCTTTCAGCCATAGACATAGCAAAATTTGCCATAAATTATGTTTTTAAAAGGAGGAATAGAAATGGGTGTTTTATTTAATAGGAAATAAAAATAAGTTCCTATAAAAAAATTATCCCATTAATTCTTTTAGAGTTGATTGATTTATGTCACCACCCTTTCCCAGGTTATATTGCTCTATTTTCAATTAGAATAATTTTTTTACGTCAATTTGCTGTCTGTAACAGCAGGTACTTTGTCTTCTTGTTGCTTTGTATTCCTTACTTTTCTATTAAATTTGAGAATATTGTCATTTGTTTTTTAAAAACTCGTAATATATTGTGCATTAAATATTCGTAGAAAAATAATAAAACAAACTTAGATTTTCAAAATGGAAAAATGGCTGTTATTGACTAAAGTGATGACTCGCAGATGATGGATCCAGGACAATCTACTAGCACTAAGAATATTGAAAAGAAAGGAAAAAATTTTATAGAAAATAATAATGAAAGTTTTATCGTTTGGATTTACTTGGAATAGAGATGAAATGGACCCTCAACCTCAATGTCTTGTTTGCAGTGAACTGTTATCCAATCAAAGTAAGAAATCATCATTACTCAAAAGATATGTAAAATCTAAGCATGTCAATTTAAAGGATAAATCCGAAGAATATTTTAAGAGAAAATTATCGGAGTTAAAAAAAAGTAAACAAATAATGAAAGGTTTTGTTACTTCAAGTGAAAAAGCTCTTTTATAAATACCTCTGAATTGGTTCTCATACAACCCATTTTGACGGTGAAGTCGAGGTCATCCATTTGCTCTTCAACAGCTTTCTACCCATCTCTCTTCCCTTAATAAGGCTGTAATTTTATTGGACTCATGTTCTGCTCTTCAGACTTTAGCGAGTAACCTAGGAAAACAAAGTGCTCATGTCCAGAGTTGCAGGACGCTATTGAGCAGAATTCAAACAAAGGTTGCTTTCCAGTGGGTGCCATCACATTGTGGCCTTTGGGGAAATGAGATGGTGGACATCTTGGCAAAAAAAGATATGGATATTCTCCAGAGGTCTTCCAAAGACCTATCTCTTCTGTCTGATAAACGTGAAATTAATAGGATTTATAAAAAAATCCTTTCATAATGCTGCTGTTAGTGCTACTGAAAATAAGTCATAGGGGGTGGTATTAAAAGCTGACTGTGTCTCAGACTCTCCTCTGGCTACTGTGGCCGAGTTTCGACTATTGACTGGACATGACTTCCTTGGTGTTCATTTGCTTCATTTTAATCTGACTGCCCCACCTTTATGTGTTTTGTGTGATTCTGGACAAGTCAGGGATGCTGCTCATGTGGACGTGTGCTCTGCACTTAAGAGTTTGGACTGTATTATAAAGCAGTATTGGAGAGCTCGTTGCCTAATGACCTGATGGTCAATGGCCAGGCATTTAATAAATAATAATAATTACTCTGAATCATCTTTTTTATTTAAATCATTGTGAAAATATTTATATATAATTTTAATTACTACTCCCATAACTACAGAATACATATTTGAAAAATATTTAAGCTTAGACTAATAAAAAAACTGCAATTTGTTATTTCCACACTGAATGTATTATATCTGAAAGTAAGCAAATATTAGCGTATTGAACTCTTTTTAATGTGTTTCAATCCGTACTATGTTTTGTATAAAATTCATTTTTTATAAAATATAATGACTTGATTTCTAAATTTAGTATTAAAAACCTTTTGTAAAATATGATATACCTTTACTTTCATATAACATACCTTGTATTTCTAAATTTATTATTTTCAGACTGAAATAGTAGCTGTTATTAGAATTCAAAGGGCCTGGAGATCATACAGTGATAAAATGAGACTGAAAAAATTACAACATGCAGCTGTGGTTGTTCAAAGTGTATGGAGAATGCATTCTGCTAGGAAAATGCTTGCAGCTTTGAAGTATGAAAAATATATGAAGCACTTGAACCAAAATGCAACTGTTATTCAAGTAAGAATTTGCTTTTTCTAATTGAAATTTAATTATTCATTTAAATAAATGAAATAAAAAGTCTTTAAAATCATAACTGAATTATTTTTATTTTTAGGCTCTGTTCAGAGGTTATTCTGCTAGAAAATTATTTATAAAATGCCTCGAAGCTTCTATTGTTATACAGAAACATGTTCGATCATGGCTTGCTAGATCTCGTTTTATTAAATTGAAAAGAACCGTTCTGAAAATTCAGTCCAGATTTCGTGCAAAGTGTTTAGGAAGAGCTCAAAGATCGAGGTATCTCATGATAAAAAATGCAGTAATTAAATTACAAGCCCATGCTAGAGGAATGTTAACAAGGAAATATTTTGATGAAAAAGTGGCTGCAATTATTGTAATACAGTCGTTTGTAAGAATGTGGTTAGTTAAAAAAACATATAATAAACAAAAAAATGCATGTATTTATCTTCAGCAGAAATTCCGTGCTTTATTACTTGCGAAGCACCATAAAGAAAAGTATCTAAAATTAAGAAAATCTGCAGTAGTTATTCAGCAATGGTATCGTCAGATCAAAATGAAAGAATCTGAAATAAAAGCTGCTATTAAAATACAAGCTTCTTTCAGACAACTTATTCAACGTAAAAAATTTATGCATATTCGCTATAGTTGTATTACTATTCAACAGTGGTGGAGAGTAACAATGTTTGCTAAAAAGGCAAGATCATCTTTTTTGGCACTTCGTCAGCATGTCGTAACACTGCAGACATGGACTAGACGTTTTATTACTTACAATAAATTTAAGAAACTGAAATATTCTGCTATAGTTATCCAAAAGTATTTTCGTATGTATTCTGCTAAGAAAGAATTTAAAATATGTAAAATAAATGCCATTGCTATTCAGAAGTGGTGGAGAAATGTCTTATTAGGTCATAGTATCAGGACAAAATACATCATGTATAAAAATGCCTCACTTAAGATTCAGGCTGTATTTAGAATGTATTTGACAAAGAAAAGATTTACCAACATTAAAAAGACTGTATGTTTTATTGAACACTGTATTCTGGGTAAAAAAGAAAGAGAAAATTATCTGAAAATGAAGAAAAGTGTTATTAAATTACAATCACTCTTTCGAGCTTTTAAATGTAGACTGGAATTTAAAAGGAAAAGGATGGCAGCAGTAAAAATTCAGACTGCTTTTAGAGGCTATTCAAAAAAGAAGGAGTTTCAAAGCATCAGATCTTCAGCTGTTGTTATACAGCAATACTATCGTTCTTATAAACAAATGTGTGAGAAGCGTCAAAAGTTTTTGAAGATAAAAATGGGCATAATTTGTTTTCAGTCACTTTACCGAGGTTATAAATTCAGATTAGAATGGAACAGGAAAAAAATAGCAATAATAATAATTCAGGCTGCTTTTAGAGCATATTCAAAAAGGAATGAGTTCCAGAAAATCAAATCCTCTGCTGTCATTATTCAAAAATATTATCGTTCATATAGAAAGATGTGTCATGAGCAGCAAAAATTTTTGACAATAAAAAGGGGCTTTATTAAGTTGCAAGCAGTTTACCGAGGCCGTAAATGCAAATTGGAATGGAACAGAAAAATTATGGCAGCAGTAACAATTCAAGCTGCTTTTAGGGCTTATTCAAAAAAAAGAAAGTACCATAAAATCAAAACTTCAGCAATATGTATACAGCAATATTACCGCTGTTATAAAAAGATGTGTGATGAACAGAAGAAGTATTTGAGGTTAAAAACAGGCATAACATGTTTGCAAGCAGTTTACCGAGGTCGTAAGTGTCGATTAGAATGGAACAGAAAAAAAATGGGAGCAGTTGCAATTCAAGCTGCCTTTAGAGCTTATGTAGCAAAAAGAAACTTTCAGAGAATGAAATATTCTGCTATGCTTATACAACAGTATTATCGTTCTTATAAAAAGATGTGTGAGGAACACCAGAAGTTTTTGACATTAAAAACAGGTATCATCCATTTACAAGCAGTTTTTCGAGGCCATAAATGCAGACTGGAATTGAAGAGGAAGAAGATGGCAGCAGTAAAAATTCAGTCTACTTTTAAGGCTTATTCAAAAAGGAAGGAGTTTCTGAAAGTCAGATCTTCAGCCATACTTATACAACAGTACTATCGTTGTTATAAAAACATGTGTGATGAGCGGCAGAATTATCTGAGATTAAAGATAGGCATAATTCATTTCCAAGCAGTTTACCGAGGTCGTAAGTGTCGATTTGAATGGAACAGGAAAAAAACAGCAGCCATTACAATTCAAGCTGCATTCAGGGCATATATGGAAAAGAGAAATTTCCAGAAAATGAAGCATTCTGCTATTCTTATTCAGCAGTATTTCCGTTGCTATCAAAAGATGCAGCTTGAACGTCAAAAATATTTAAAAATGAAAGTTGGTTTTACTCGTCTGCAAGCTTTTTATCATGGTGTAAAGGTTAGACAAGATATTTCTAACTTGAATAAAAAAGCCATTGTTATCCAGTCACAGTATAGAAAATGGATAGCAATGAAAAGCTATCAAAAATTAAGAGAAGCCTGCTGTGTTATTCAAATAAGATATCGTGCCTATCAAAAGATGAAAAAGCAACTACAAACATATCAAGAAATGAAAAGAGCTGCTGTCATTGTTCAAGCATTTATTCGTTGCAAATTATCTCGTATCAAATATTTAAAAATGAGGCATGCATCTATAAAAGTTCAAGCGTTTGTTCGCATGGTTATAGCACAACAAAAATATAGTAATGTTCGAAGAGCTGCACTTATTGTTCAGAAACTGTATCGATCAAAATGCTTAATGATTATTCAAAGAAATGCTTACATAAAGGAAAGAAATGCTGTGATATTTCTGCAGTCTAAAGTAAGATCTGTATTGGCTAGAACAAAATTTTTAAAAATCCAAAAAGCTTGCATTTTGATTCAGTCAACTTTTCGTATGTGGAAACAGCAAAAAAATTATGTTAAAATATCCTGTGCAGTACGAGTCATTCAAAAAAGATTTCGAAGTTTTCAGATTGCTCAAAAAGAAAGAAAGAATTATCTACAGGTCCGAGAAGCATGTATTAAGATTCAGTCCTTTATTCGAATGGTTATTCAACGGAATTATTTCAAAAGATTTTATGGTGTAGTAGTTTTTGTTCAGAAAAAATATAGATCATCAAGAGAGGCTAAGCAGATCAGAGAAAATTTTTTATCTGTAAAATATTCTTGTATTAAAATTCAGTCATTTGTACGAATGTACCTCGAAAAGAGGAAGTTTTATAAGATTCGCCAAGCATGCATTGTCATTCAATCTTCATATCGAAAACACCTTGCTAAAAAACAATATCTTCGAATAAAGCAAGCAACTTTGACTGTACAAAAACATTTTGTGGCTTGGAAAGCTTCTAAAACTGAGCGTAATCGATACTTAAAAATGAGACATTCAGCTGTTATAATTCAATCTGCTTTCCGTAGTTTCATTGCTAGGAAGAATTTTAAAAAACAATTAAGAGCTTGTGTAGTGATACAGGCACATATAAGGAAGTACCTGTGTTCTAAAAGTTATATTAAACAAAAGAATGCCATTCTTGTTCTTCAGAAGCATTTTAGAGCTTTAATAGTGGCCAAACAAGTAAGAAGAAGTTATTTACACACTAAAAAAGTTATTATTGTTCTACAGGCTGCTGTTAGGGGTTGGTTAATTCGTAAACAAATGAAGGTTCTTCATCAGTCAGCAATGAAGATACAGGCTATGTACAAGTGTTTCTTACTTCAAAAGAGGTATAATCTGAAAAGAAAATCTGCAATATGCATTCAGAGACATTTTAGGTCATTGCTTCTAGGGAAAAAGATACGATCAGATTACTTGCAATTACGATCTTCAGCAACTGTAATTCAGTCTTGTTGGCGAGGAAAACAAGCAAGAGTTCATTATCTAAAGCAAAGACAAGCTGTTATACTACTTCAGTCACATACTCGTAAAATGTTATCAAGACGAAAATCTATCAAATTAAAACACAGTGCTATTCTTATTCAGCGTTTCTATCGGGCTTATAAAACTGGCTCAAAAGAATGTAGTTTATATCAGAAAAAGAAGGAAAGTTGTCTAAAAATTCAAGCATACTGGCGAAGCTATAAATTGCACAAAAAGTTCCAGATGAAAAAGGAAGCAGCAATAATCATTCAACGAAACTTTAGATGGTGGAGGGAAAAAAGAATGATCCAAAATTCCGTAGCAGCTGCTAGTAATACGGTAAGTAGACTTTTTCTTTCTCATTATTTTGTGTTTTTTTATTCGTTACTTTCATTATCAACAATTTTTTTTTTTTTAATTGGCTAAAGATTTTTTGAGGAAGGGGTGGAGGGTCTTGGCATTCTAATTACAGCTAATATCTAATATCTTTTGCTATTCTAATATCTTTTGCCAAAAGATGTATAATATTAACAAGAAGCTGAGAGGAATTGCCATATTTACTCACATATTTTTCCCCATTGCGTACTTCTCCCTTAGTTTATTCAGCATATGATTTAGAGACTTCTGATTTATGGTAGCAATGCAGAAATTTATGTACAAATAGGAAAGCATTTTGTATTTAAAAAGAATATTGTTGAAATTAACAAGCTCTTTGATTAATATTGGTGTATCTTTCTGTGAGCTTTTAAGGAGCTGTTTTATCATTTAAGCTCTGCTCAAAACTAGTAAAAATCATTATTTTTCCTCTCCTGTTTGCTAGCAGTAGAATTTGTAGGAAAAGTGGGATATACGAATTTTGCATGCTTGTTAAATTTGCACAAAAGTTAATATTAAATGATGAAATAAATTAATCAAATCTATGCCAGTCATAAAGTTAATAGCTGAAATTTGTCAGTTAGTAACAGTTAAAATTAACAAACACATTATCGAAAAGATTTGGTAGAAGCATACAATATTAAGCTGGACAAGCCAGCATGATCACATACTGTAGTCACTTTCGAGAGCCTCAGAATCAAATCCTGCAAAACGGGGGTTGTTCCGCAGATCAGTCTACAGGATTGCTCGCCAAATGGTGCAAATATGATATTATCATTATTGTGAAAGACCATCTATTCAAATCATAAAACATATATGGTGATTCTTAGCTTTCCTTCAGGCTATTCAATGTAGTTGTAAAATGTATTACTGAATATTCTAAGTTCTTCTGTTAAAATTCACAGTCGGAGACTTATTATCCTTAAAAGCAATTATGTTTCATGGTTATATAAAAACAATAATAATTTTATAGGGAAAAAAATTAACCAGCTACTCAGTCTGGGAAAATATTCTTCTTATTCTGAAAGGAGTCCTTATGTATTTTTCCCCCCAATTTTGACTAGTTATCTTTTCTAGAAAATGATAACAACTTTGTAGGAAAAGAAACTTGCATTAACCAAATAATCCAGATCTGAAAAGCTGTTTTTTATATTCTAAAAACAAAGTGTACAATTTATAATTCCTTCGCTATTAGAGGTTAACTTAGGATAAAGGTGTAGATTACTGTTAGTTCATTCTTATTTCACCTTTTTGAAGTGGAATGTGCTTTTCATTGTCTACTTTTATGTAGTGACATAATTGAAATGAATCAGTTTTCCTTAAAAAATTCCGGGCTCTCTTTAGGCTAATCACCCACCAGCGGCCGAGCGGTAAAGTCGCTGAACACTGGTAGTTCGGTTCGAGGTTTGAATCCCACGAACGGGCTGGCTGCATGGGCGTTTTTGTGGTTTTCCCCATGTGTATGAGTGACATGCATATGAGTCAGTTTCCCTTAAAAAGTCCTCCACGACGGCATCCCTCCCCTTAGGCAGATAGCAGTCAAGGCTTTGCCATAATCACACACACACTTTAGGCTAATCACATGCAAAATAGCTTGGAATTTAGCTTTTATAAAGATTAATAGAAATATAACTACTGAAAAAAAAATTATCAATTATTGTAAATTCTGTTTAAAAATAGTTGTCAAAAGCAATACTTGTCTTAAATTTGATTTAACTACATCTTGTTATCTAAAAAATTACAGTACTTTCTGATTAGCCACATCCTTGAATTCACCATGCGGTAGAATTGCTGTGTTTTGGGGTTTTGAGAATACGGTGCAAAATACGAGATCCAGACTTGTTAGGGTTTCAGCAGTTCCAAATTTGAGATTTTTCTGGATCATTAGTTTAAATCTAGTAGGATAACTTGTAGAAAGTATAAAAGATACAACTCTGATATATGCCCTAATTTCACCAAATGTGGCAGCGATATGTGTTCTGCGCTGGTTTTTGGCATGATTGCGTGTTGTATGGCAACCCTGTTGACGTTGAAAAATCTTTCGCTGGAGCTCGTTGATTCGCCTCTGTGTCTGAGAAGATGGGAGGGAAAGATAAAATGGTTGAAGTTGTTGAATTGAAGTTCGGCAAAAGGAAAATATCATTGTGGCTATCCTGTTGATGGGGTAGTGGGTATTTGGAAGGTGTTGGAAAGAGGGTCTGGGAGATTATTTTTAATGGCAGTGCATGATAGAAGTAGGGATTTGTGATTTTATTTATTTGTGAACCATAGTATGAATTTTCTGGATAGTGTGTCTGGCTGTCATATAAATACGATAGTGATTACGTGGCAGTATGAAGTTGTAATTTCTGCTGTTCGAAAAAGCATTCATGGTAAGTTCATTTTATTTTATTCTTTTTTCATATTTTGTAGAATGTTATGGTCATTTCAAAAGGCACAACTCTGATATATGCCCTAATTTCACCAAATGTGGCGGCAATATGTGTTCTGTGCTGGTTTTTGGCATGATTGCGTGTTGTATGGCAACCCTGTTGATGTTGAAAAATCTTTCGCTGGAGCTCGTTAGTTTGCGAAGATAGGGGGAAAGATAAAATGGTGGAAGTTGTTGAATTGAAGTTCGGCAAAAGGAAATATCATCGTGGCTGTCTTGCTAAGGGTCAGTGGGTATTTGGAGGTGTGGAAAGAGGGTCTGGGTGATTATTTTTAGTGGCTGTGCATGATAGAAGTAGGAATTTGTGATTTTATTTATTTGTGAACCATGGTATGAATTTTCTGGATAGTGTGCCTGGCTGTCATATAAATATGATAGTGATTACGTGGCGGCATGTTAAAGGCGGTATGAAGTTGGTATTTCTGCTGTTCGAAAAAGCATTCATGGTAAGTTCATTTTATTTTATTCTTATTCATATTTTGTAGAATGTTAATGGTTCATTATTTTTTTAGTATGAATTTCTGTTATTGTTATTTTTGAATTTGTTTTGAAATGTATTTTAGTTTTATATTAGTTATTTTGTTGATTAGTGTCGTAGCCGTCTAGAATTGTGCAATTCGTAGATTTTTTTAAAAGTTGAAATAGAATACTGTGTACATGGTATTCTTTGAAATATATTGTTGTTATGTTAATTTATTAAAGCGAGGTGTGCGTAGTTTGTAGATTCGTTTGTTGCCTAGATTGTGCAATTCAAAGATGTTTTTTTTTTTTAAGTTTAAACATGATGCTGTGTACATGATATTCTTTGAAATTTATTGTTGCTATGTTACTTTATTAAAGCGAGGTGTGAGTAGTTCGTAGATTCATTCGTTGCCTAGATTGTGCCATTCGTAGATTTTTTTTTAAGTTAAAACATATCGCTGTGTACATGGATTCTTGTCAAATATTTTTGGTTAGAAACTTTATGTTTTTGCTATCTAAATTTTTTGTTTTTGTTTTGGATTTTTAGCTTAAAATGTGTGTTCAAAATGGGGTTTCTGCATGTGCGAAAACAGCGTTTTTGGAGACATTTTAGGCTTAAAGTTCGAAATGTAGACAAAAAATTTAGATAGTAATATGGCAGCATTGAGTTTTTTGCCAAAAATGTTTCGTGAGAAATTTGGGGACTTGAGGGCGCATATCAAAGTAGATCCAATTAACAATATGAAATAGTGGTTTATGAAATAAGTGAAGCATGTATGACCTCAAGGAAATCAAAATTTACAAAAAATTTTAACTTGTAATTTCATATTTTGGGGGGAAAAACCCTTCTGCCTGCCATGCTAGCGTTCTAAGTTCATACTGTACCCAATCCGCTTCTTACCTGTTTTACCTATGAGATCCCTTTTAGTTCCTTATTCTAACCCTCAAATGAATTCAGTATCATTCAGCCATGAAACTCCACAGATAATGTCAGCACAACACTGAACTCTGACTACAGCCATACTAGAAATGCAGAAAAGTGCTGTTTGATCTGTTAAATCAATTACCAGAGTTTGTATGGTCCTTAAAAGTTCTTAGGTTTTTTGGAATCTATTTTTGGTCCTTAAAAGTCCTTAATTTCGACCAAATTCAACAGGGGTCCTTAATTTTAATCATCTGAAATTTCTGTTTGTTTTTACGACTGTCATTTTTTGAATGTGAATTAGCATTTTGGACAAATATTTTTAGTGATTCATTTGGATGGGTTAATAGATTATAATTTGTTCCTATTTCTAATATAAACGGTGGAATACTCAATTTGAGCAAGAAGTGAAAAATAAGCATTTTGAAATTATTTCATTTTTTCTAAAGAAGAGCTCTTATACAAATTTACATTTTGGGGAATGTGAGTTCTTTATTAAACGGTTCCAAATTTGGCGATTTTAAGATCAGTTTCTATAGCAAACTTTTAATTTGGAAATCTGGGAATTTTTCGACTGTATTTTTTTTTAACATCATAACATTGATCAATTTCATTAAAATAATGCTAATATATTGAAATTGTATTTAAGAAGAAATAACATTAAAATGAAACATCTTTATTTTTTGCTATCATATTATAAAGAGGCATTACTTTCCATTTTGGCATCTTATTATACAATATTTTGAATCTAAAAAATAAGCAAAATAATAAATGCTTAAATTGCACTTTAGCACAAGTTATGAAACAATTTGTAGCAAAAGCAAAATAGCTATGTAATTATTTAAAAATGCCCTCGATTTAAATTTTTCATGGTAAGAGTTTTTCCCATGTAATTGTCTCAATATGCATCGGTTTTTCTCTATAAAATTAATTTTACACTTCTTTCCTCTGATTTTTTTTCCAGACATATTTCTGGCTTTTTGCTCGTACAGAATTGGTAGGGGTAATTTTTCTTTAGGATTTTAGACACTGCAACTTGTAAAGTTTAGAAGGATTTGAAGGCAAGATTTATAGAACCATGAATCTAGAAGATTAAAAAAAAAATTGCCTTCATGGATTCATCATAATGGATGTATTTTACAAAAAGTT